TAAAGCGGATGTGCTCCACACTCTGCACACGAGTTCGAATCTCCCTCCCTGTTGTTTAAATTAGATTAAAGTACGTAAAATATCGCTGGAAAGAAAAAAAAAAGTTGTTTAATTAGCTAATTCGTTCCTAAAAAAAGAAGAAATTAGCTCATCAGTTTGATTACTTGGTTCATAAGATAGTATGAATGATACTTAATTGCCTTTGACTTTCCTAGAAGTAACCATAAACACCTTTACTTAATCCCTTGTCATCATCCCATCATCACTAACCTCACTATCAAAGCAGGAGATTATTAGTCTGATTTGGCTGAATTAATTAATTAATTAATTAATTCACACAAATTCCACGTTAAATACATATCTTCCTCGAGATATATGCTCTATGTGAATGTTTAACTTTATATTCAACTCTGCTAGCCGCACCGCACTGGTCCAATTATATAATATAATGTGCTTCAACAGTAACCTTTTCCCACTCATGTAAATACTTTTGCTTTCTAGATAGGTGATGATGAGGTGGGGTAGCTGAATAGTTGGTGCAATCGGATAAAGTTTTGGTCTAACTTTTCCTAACAAAGAAACCGTGTCAAACATTTTAGTAAGACTCCTAATAAAACATCACTAAGACCTGCGCAGCTAGATTGGATCATACTCAACTTACTTAATTAGTCTGAACTTGATCTAATTTTGGGAGCAAAATAACAATATAAAAACATATATAGCCACGTGTTTATATTCGGTATGTAGAATAAATCACATACGACTTAATAAACATAACATAAGTTGCTTATATTATCAGTCTCTGAATATCAACGATGTAAATACATATATGAGTAGATGTTTATATCACCAGAGTATAAATTTTACTTTTAGCAAATTATACGGTTCAGATTTACGGTTTATTAACATAAATTTGACAATGGGACATTACTCATATACACGTATGTATGCGTGTATTGCATGTGGTCGGCATATTCAAATAATATAATATAATATAATATAATTTGTCTTATAATCTGACCAGAAACAATTGCTAACAAGGAAGTCGGCAATGGTGTAAGTGATGACATATGTGGATTAATAGAAAATAATTAATTTATATAACTGTACATAGTTGGCTAAGACTGCAAGTAATCGATGATGTGTTTTAAGCTTTGTATACATCAACTTCCCCAAGTGACTCCTTCCACTGCATTATTAGTTTTCTACATCGTTTTCATTCGAAATTTCTATTTGAATTTGAACCAAAGTGTACTTCAAAGTCTGCATATTCATTCATTTTATGCCAAGAATTTGAGAGAGAGAGAGAGAGAGAGAGAGAGAGAGAGAGAGATTCTAAGCATAATAAATTTAAAGTCACAATCATATTTATAAGACAAGGTCCTGGCTCTTGGTAGTGCCTCATACTCTGTCTGGTGTGGAAATTTGACTGAGATACTATTATATTTTGACTTAATTAAGATACAGAAATACAAGACTGGCATGGCCTTTTGTGATACTCAAAAGTTGGATTAAAAAAGGGTTCGGAGAGTGAGCTCATCATGAGGCATCGATGGGCTTCACTGGCTGGCTCCTCCTCAAGTCTCCTCTGAACCACAAGTTAGCAACAATAAATACAAGAATATTTAGTCAAGATTTGTATAATTTTGTCCTGGCTCTGAGAATTTCAGCTCTTCAAATCATAATGTTTGTAATTCGTAGGCTAAAAAAAATTCTGACCTTAAATATGGAAGGTGAATGCTCACTACTACTAAAGTCGTAAAGTAATATACCAACTCTCTGAAATCGTGCAAGTTATCATCATCTTATAATTTACTCCTTTTAATTTTCATAAGATGAAAATTCTTAAACCTGTTTCTTCCTTAAACATACCTTAAATTTTACGAGTTATCGAATTCAATCCTAGTCATGCAAAGAAAAATTATGCCATCATAACTTCAATTTTGTTTTATTAGTGGATCCCCCAAGGCTAGGGCCACATATATAACTTGGTCCAACTAGTAAAGAAATTAAGAATCAACACAGCATCCGGTTCCAGCATGTGTGTACAAAATAAAGCAGGATTGGAAAATAATGGATGTACTTTTTGTAGCTATGAATGATATATAATTACTGTTAATTGACTTAATTTAGTGACTATTAAAAAAAACCAACTTGATTAATTAATTAAGTTATTAGCTATGAGTATATATATAACTTGTTACACAAGTTTTTAAACACTCAGCTCGGACAGATTATCCACGGATTAATTTGGTGGCTAGCTATGGCTTCAGTTATATAATATAGACAAACGTCTGGTTCAGAAAGCATAAACAATGTGTTATTATGTGCTCTCCACACGTTTTCTGTAATTTTATAATCTTCTGCTAGTGCTTTCCCAGAAAGACCAGGGTTTGGATAATACTAATCTATGCTCTACTTCTCTTGTCAGCCAAAAGGTGGGGCTATATATTATTGGACATTATTGCCGGCTGTGACTTGGCATCCCCACTAGGACTTGAGGAACAGAAAAAACCAGTTCAAACTTCAAACCTCAAAGAGAGTCAGCTAGTGTGAAAAGTGCTTTTTTGGGTAGCTGAGCAATTGGCGCAACTGCATTTTTGCACACTTGTATTTTGCTTTGACTCTGACTTTACCTAACGAGAACGAAATGAAATGAAGAACAAAAGCCATATCGCAGTTTCTTGAACTGGTTTTTGCTTCCCTGGTCAAAAGCTCATGCTTTTCAAGTTGACTTGCCCATTGGCCCATCCTCATTAGTAGAACAGAACCAGTTGGGGTTTGAGAACTTGAATTTGGCGAGTGTGCCCAATTTGAATTCAACAATCAAGATGGTACCAGAGACTAAGATCACATAATCATTAAGCAAGTGCTGACGGTAATGTGCATGAGATGAAAAAAATTGGGTAAAATATTAAAAAATGACGACCACAAACTTGGTGACTTGGTGTGGGCTTCTAGATGCTCACGCTACCTCACTGTGTTTCTTCCAAGTTCCATGCAGACATTTCAATACCTGTCCACATTGCAATTTCCTTGAAACTCATGTGACAAACAAGTAAGAAAGTTAGAGGCTTTACCTGGGTCTGGTCTGGGTTATAATTTTCAATATCACACGATACCATTAATTCATGTGTTCGAAATTTGTTGTTCATCTACCAAGAAAATGTAAAAACTTTACTTGAAGGGTCACCTAGAGTTAGTGATTTATAGTTTGTCTTTATATCACACCTAGCAACACTAGCAATACTGAATTGATCTTTATATCTGAAGATCCAACATCCTCAGAAAACTCAAACCAATTTTTTTTACAGAATATGACACTTGACTAAGACATTGCCCTGCCCTATATCACACCTAGCACCTAGCAACACCTGCTCCTTCACTATCACACCTTGCCCTGCCCTATTCCCATGGAAGAGAAGACAGTTCCAACCCCAAAACAGAGAGACCCCAGGGGCAGGAGAATTTCCGATCAGTCTTTTAGTTCACACCAAACACTCCAACAATTTCCACAAAATAAAGACTCTGAATTGTAAGCCAAGGAAATCAAGAAACAACATAACCCAAGCTGAGAAGTTCAGGATATACGACTTACACGTAATCATACACCCATTCTGACATAGCTTCACCTCCATAGAGCAAAGATTACAACGTAGTATGCCGAGCCAGCAATATAACTAACGGAGCAGGAGATCAACATGAATGACAGGAGTATGAGATCAACGCGATTGCATTACTGAATTGATCTTTATATCTGAAGATCCAACATCCTCAGAAAACTCAAAACCAATTTTTTTACAGAATATGACACTTGACTAAGACATTAATCACATGTTGTATCATGTCTCATATAGTCGGATAAAATCTTAGGTAATGGAGCAACTCCTTTTAGGTCACTAGTTCAAACTTCAAAGTAACAGCGCTGCTATCCAATCTATGTCAGAGATAAGGGTTCCATTCCATGTAGAGAATTCTATGAATTTCTTTATCAAAATTCAAAATGGTGCTAACTGCTAAACCAAAATTCAAACTGGTGCTAAACTGCTAGCAACACTAGCAATAGTAATTTGCTGACTAGCAGAAAATGATGGGCACTAAAGTCTCTAGATAACATCAGTAAGACGTCTACATTTGTTTGTGCTGGGCTTCACACAATGACATATAAATTGATCCACCAAAGTAGCACTTAAAATGATATGAGTTGAAACTTTATCAACACAAACCAAACATACAAGCCACAGTAAATAGGATTTCTTGCTTTGCCTTTTATTTAATTATACACCACAATGGCACAATTGCTTTAGTTCTGAGTATATCCAGAAAATTTTCACAATTACTATCAGATTACTAAACTCCAGTTACACAATAGAACTCATACACCAATCAGACAAACTATTTAAAAGAAAAGGACTGGGAATTGTTTGTTTACATACAAATTTTGATGGGCTTTTAATAAAAAGTTTGTCTGCCTTAGCTTACTGATCAGCATCATTGGTGTTGGTTTCGCTGAGATTCCCAAACTTTTGCTTGAACGAGTCTTGTCTTTTCACCCACATCATGTGCCCCTGAAATTCACAAAAGTTCCCAACTTTACTTCCACAACCCAATTGATAAGTAGTAGGCTCCCACAAATTTTTTTAAATTAAAACAAAAAATGCAGTCTTTGGGTGTAGAAGGAGAATTTGAAGTACCTGGAGAGCAGCAGCCCAAGCAATGAGGACAGATGCGAACCAGAACTTCTTGTCGTTGAGGAGCTTCCTGGCTTCCATTTCCCGAAACCCTAACCCTAACTCCAGATACAATCTGGGTCTGATTCAGAAAAGTGAAACCTTGAAGATGGTGATGTTGGGAGGTGATAGTTTCGGGCCTACTGAACCTGAATCAAATATGGGCCTCCAATAGAAACAATTACTTTGGGCCTTCCGATCTTTTGTGGTCTTCAGGCGCAAAATACTCTCACTACATACATGTCACCTGAGGAGCAAAGCTGTTCCAAACTTCCACCCGTTTCGTACTATGATCGTGAAACATGGACTGCGTAGACCGTACCATGCACTCGCATCAGCAGCAGCTTCTGAAATTCCTTCTTTGCCCTCCACCACCACCAACAATTACCCGCGGTACCTGAACCTCCTCTCTTCATGCAGAGACTTGAAGTCTCTGCTTCAAATCCATGCCCACCTGATCGTCTCAGGTCTCCAACAAGACAATTCCACACTGACCCATCTCATAAATTCCTACTCTTTGTTTAAAAAATGTGGTTTGGCGAGCTTGGTTTTCGATTCTGCTCAAAACCCAAGTGTAATTTTGTGGAACTCCATGATCAGAGCTTATACAAGAGCAAACAAGCACAAAGAAGCTCGAAAAATGTACCATTCTATGTTAGAACAAGGTGTAGAGCCAGACAAGTATACCTTCAACTTTGTTTTGAAAGCTTGTACTGCTGCTTTGGATTTTGAAGAGGGTGTCTTGGTGCACCGTGAAGTGGCTCGGAAGCAGCTTGACTCTGATGTATTTATAGGGACCAGTCTTATTGACATGTACTGTAAAATGGGCGAGTTAACATGTGCAAGAGAGGTGTTTGAAATATTACCTAAGAAAGATGTTGTGGTTTGCAATGCTATGATTGCGGGTTTATCACAAAGTGAAGATCCTTATGAGGCATTGGAATTTTTTCGGGGGATACAATTATGGGGGCTGGAGCCGAACTTAGTGAGCTTGTTAAATTTGGTTCCAGCAGTGTCCAGATTAGCTGATATTGATTCTTGTATGTGTATTCATGGTTATGTGTTTAGGAGGGGCTTTAGTTCAGTGTTTTCAAATGGGTTGATTGATATGTACTCTAAGTGTGGAGATGTAGATGCTGCTCGTCAGGTTTTTGACCTGATGCAGGGCCGGGATGATGTTTCGTGGGGGACAATGATGGCAGGGTATGCAAGTAATGGGTTGTTTGTTGAGGTTTTGGAGTTATTTGATTGGATGAAGGGAGATAACACTACGATGAATAAGGTTTCCGTCATAAGTACTCTTTTGGCTGCCACTGAGATGAGAGATTCAGAGAAAGGGAAGGAGATACATTTTTGTGCTTCACAACAAGAACTTGATTCTGATGTTTCAGTTGCTACTTCTATACTGACCATGTATGCAAAATGTGGAGAAATAGAGAAGGCAAAACAAATTTTTGAAGGACTTAGGAAAAGAGATTTTGTTTCTTGGTCTGCACTTATATCTGCTTGCGTCCAATCTGGTTATCCTGAAGTGGCATTGTCTATCTTTCGAGATAAGCAAAATGAAATTCTCAAACCAAGTGGAATAACGTTGATAAGTGTCCTACCAGCATGTTCAGAATTATCATATCTGAAACTAGGCAAGAGCATACATTGCTATGCTGTTAAGGCCAATATTGCTTCTGATATTTCTTTAGGAACAGCCATAGTATCCATGTATGCCAAATGTGGATTCTTCACTTCTGCACTAATTCTATTCAATAGAATGCCATGTAAAGATGTTGTAACATGGAATGCTTTGATAAATGCATATTCCCAGATTGGTGACGCCTTCCATGCGATAGATATGTTTCATGAACTATGGTCGTCTGGAATAAAGCCTGATGCTGGAAGCATGGTGGGTTTCATGTCAGCTTGTAGCATATTAAATGACCTAGATCAAGGTACTTGTATTCATGGGCAAATTATAAAGCATGGGTTTGAACATGATGTTCCGGTGAAAAATGCTCTTATTGGCATGTATTGCAAATGTGGTAACATATCCTCAGCTGAACTTCTGTTTAACAGAACCAAATTTAAGAAAGATGTGGTATCTTGGAATGTAATAATTGCAGGATACGTGCAGGGTGGATATGCCAGGGAAGCTATATGTTCTTTTCATCAGATGAAATTAGAGAACTTTCAACCTAATATAGTCACATTTGTTAGCATACTTCCTGCAGTGGCATATCTGGCAGCCTTAAGAGAGGGCATGGCTTTTCATGCCTGCATTATCCAAACGGGGTTTCTATTTAATACACTTGTGGGAAATAGTCTTATTGATATGTATAGTAAATGTGGACAGCTCAATTATTCGGAGAAATGCTTTAATGAGATGGAACACAAGGACAAAGTTTCGTGGAATGCAATGCTTGCAGCATATGCAGTGCATGGGCAAGGAGTCAACGCTATTTCACTTTTCTCATTGATGGAAGAGAGTTTGGTCCAAGTTGATTCTGTGTCATTCATCAGTGTTTTGTCTGCTTGCAGGCATGCAGGTCTGGTAAAAGAAGGAAAGAAAATTTTTCAGGCCATGCATGAAAAGCACCATCTTGAACCAGAGTTGGAACATTATGCTTGCATGGTGGATCTTTTAAGTCGTGCTGGTTTATTTGATGAAACTTTAAATTTGATTAATAAAATGCCAGTGGTGCCTGATGCTGGAGTCTGGGGAGCCTTATTAGGTGCATGTAGGATGTATTCTAATGTGAAGTTAGGAGAAGTTGCATTGAGTCATCTTGTTAAGCTTGAGCCTAGAAATGCTGCTAATTACATAGTCCTATCAGATATACATGCTCATTCGGCTAGATGGGGTGAATCTGGCAAGACAAGATCAATGATGAATGGCTCAGGGTTGAAGAAAACTCCAGGATGTAGTTGGGTAGAGGTCCAGAACATGGCCCATCCATTTGGGGTAGGTGACTACAATTACCAGGCCCCAACTTGAGAGCTGAGAACGTGCATTTTCTGCTTGAAAAGAACCTGGGACCACCATTCAGGTAGTTAAAACTCTCTGTGCCTATGTGCATTGCCATGCTGCAAATTGTAAAGATGAGAGAAGCCATAAAATATTGTGAGGAATGCTATTTACTTCCATTATTTGGAGCTGGTATCTGCTCGGGCAAATATTAATACTCTCATCATACAATTTAGATCATCGTGTGCCGGTGGCAAGGAAGCACTCATATTTGCCATTTGCAACTGTAAGGGGCCATCTAAATGAAAATTGGTTTCTTAGCTGGTATGTCAATCAATGCATCTGGCATCACATCTTCAACTAACAAGGTTCGTTCTCTAAGCTGCGCAAGTTTGCTCCATGCTACCTGCAGTGAAGCTTCGGATTGTATGGAAAGAACCAGATTGAACTGAGAACTAAAGTAATCACTTGCTCTCTAACTTCTTGATAATTTTATTTCCATTGCTTTTGTTCTTTTAATTTATTTTCTCGAATTGTCAGTTTCAGGCTCTGTTACGAGATTGAGAGCTGTATCAATTGTTTTCATTTTCTGTGGGCAGATTGGACAAGTTTTGTCCAAGGATGAGATGGCTCAAAGCTTTGCTGCTGAAGTTGTTTGCTCTAATGAACATCACCTGCAGTGGCAATATTGGCAGGACGCTTGGACCAAGGACATGGAACAATGGAGCTTTCATTGAGATTAAAATGAGAAACAGCTTGCTGGGAAGACCTAGAAAAATGAAGCCTTGGATTGTTAGAGCTTTGAGAATTAGAAGTTAATTCTACTAGGTGGTGAATTAGAGCATGCGTGATGTGACAAATGGAAACCCAACATTTCATGCTTTATACCATCAAGAATATATGGTTGCCTCATTTTTATTGAGGGGAAACAAATTGGAAATAAAGAAGAAACAAGGACTTTACTGGATGAAATTTTAATCGTCCATCGACTGCAATCACAGGATGGATTTTCCTTTCAATTTTCATAGGTTCTGCGTGGACGTGGAAACCCAATTGTGGGTAGCGCCACGTTGAAAACCTATATTAAAATAAAATGTCAGTTAGATTAACAACTAAGGGTCCATAGCTCAGTGGTAGAGCATTTGACTGCAGATCAAGAGGTCACCGGTTCGAACCCGGTTGGGCCCTTCCTAAGCTAACCTTTTTGTTTTTTGTTTTTTCCATGTTTTATGAAAAATATATTTGTACTTTGGCTAACACTCTAAATAGAAAACCCATAAATATTTGTAATTGCATTTTTTAAAAATTTTATAAATCAATCGTGAATATGACATTCAGTTAATAACATGTTTACTTTTCCACTCACTTTCCAAGCATATATATGCATATCTTCACGATTGGAAGGCAATGCAAAAACTCATGAATTCCTCACAAGAAATATAATTTTATAAAGTCACAAAACCTAATTGTAATGATATTAGTTTATTACAGTGAGTAAAAGATAATCAAATAGCTGATACAAGATTCAATACATAAAAAGGAAAAAAAAATTGTTGAATCAGTCGCTGCTTTGATGGAATTGTCTTCTCTTTATTTCTTCCTCCTCCGATACCCTTCTTCAGCAACCAGAGTCCAGCACGTGCAAAACTACACACAGCAAGCAGATAACAGTTTTCTGTGTGTATCAATCTGGGACTGAAACATTCCCATTCCAAGGGATTCACAAGCTACCATCTAAGAAATGTCAGAAGTGCCTAGCTTCAAAGAATGGTCCTTTTTTGCATGCTCGCATGCACATTTCATCCACATAACGAGCATGTCCAAGCTGTGTCTCGAAAGATTTTTGTACATAGAGTTACCGAACTCGCTTGTTAAGGGGAAACAAATATGTTACACCGCCAAAAGAACGCCTCAGAGTTCTTCTGCACTTCACTTCTAATAATTTGTGCGTAATGATCCAAAGTCTGTGTATGCTCATCTATGCTATCACTGGATATTGTATCTTCAGTTAGTGTGACTGCTGCCATGTGAGACAGTTGCAAGTTTTCCCCAGCCCTTTGCAGCTTCCTTGCGGTTTCAACCTCGCCAAGCATCACAAGTGAATGTAATAAAGATTTTAGCTCGTACATCGCTCCAGTCGTTAGAGACATGCCCTTCAAGTGGTCTGCCAGAGCCAATTCCTCGCCAGGACTAAAATGTCAAGTAGTTAATTTATTTGGGATTAGTTAGTGACCAGGAAGGAACAATAGCAAAATTAAAAAACGAACTTTTAATCCTGTATAACAACAAAAGTACCTGCCAGCACGGATTTTTCCTCTTTTTCTCTGACGCCTGGCATCTCTTGCCTTGCTTGCTGCACTTGATCTGGTGGAAGTGACAGAGCTGTCCCTGGTCCTGTTCATAAGATTAAGAAAAAGAAAATAGGTTACCCAAAGAAACATATAACAAACTGCAAGGCCAAAGACCATCAAGCACACAAATATGCACAGAAGTGATGATCAACATACTACAACTCTTTGATGGAGACCATTAACTCCGCACAACTATTAAAAAAAAAAAAAAAAAAAAAAAAAAAAAAAAAAGCACAACAAACCATAGAGCGCTATATGACAATAAAAATGTAAATACATACCCAGTGGTGTAAGCACTCATTCCACTGAAATTACTGCTAGCCTCTGAAGCAGTATCATCATCAAGATCGTTCATTGACCGTTCCTCTGACTGGAGTTTTGCAGCAAGAAGTAACCTTCTTTGTCGTAAAGCTAAGTAGCGAGCCAAGTACTTCCCTACTTTCTCCACACCTTCCTCATATTCACCGACAAGCAAGCTTGCACATTCCAAGGATGCATTCTTCACATCAGAGATCAAATCCTGTCTATTGTGCATTAAAGCGATTCTCAAGGCCTCCTCCCAATCCCTCGCACTAATCAACAAATTCATCCCGTTGTTAACATCGCCACAATACTCCAGCGCAATTTTGGCTGCTTCACTTGGTTTACCAAGAGCTTGAAGTTCTTCACAAAGCTCATGAGCCAGTTGCATTATCTCATCTTCACCCAGTTTTAGAAGCCCAGCAACTGTTAGCACCTTACTCCAATTACCACAAGCACGGTATGACTTCAAAGCCTTCTCCAAACTGGAACAGCACAAATAATTTGCAGCAGCATCCTCAAAGCATTTTTCATCACTAAGATGATCTCCCCAGGCCTCGAGGACTTGCCTCTTCTTGGCAGGATCAGCAATCAGTTGAAGTCCCAAGGGGAAAAGTCGAGGATTTTTCTTCATCAGGTTCATAGAATCTGCATAACAAGTGTCTCCTGCAGAAACAATGTGCTTGAGAGCTTTCTCAAACCTGTGCAGCTTTAGGTCAATGTTATAGCGCATTAAAGTAACTGGCATGCATTCCAATTCTTGGAGAAAAGGAAGAAATTCTTTAGGGTCCCGCTGAGAGTTCAATGCCACCATAGCTGCAAGGTTCAAATCATAAAGGCCTAAAGCAGCCTCATAAACAGATTCAGAATCAGATAACCATAGAAGATGCTTCAAAGCCTCTTCGGCAGAGGGGTAAGACATTCTTTTCTGGTCATTGGAACCTGACAATTCCATTTCACGGATATCTTTTATTCTCTCCAAAGCTTCATCAAGTGCAGGGGGTTCACTTCGAGCTAGAGTGGTTAAAATGCAAAGCTCCCTTGCAGGAACTTCTGGTAATTGTTCCTCAAGAGCCCTCCTTATGGCCAGAAGCACAGAAGATATCTTGTTATTAGAATCAAAACCCTTGGAGTCTTGAGATTGCACATCTTTAGCTTCTTTTGGGAAAGGTTGAGAGATAAAACTTTTATATAGTGTCTCTGTAATGTTTTCATTCTTTATGGCACAAACAAACTCAGTTATGTAGTTCAAATTATTAACCTGCTTGACAAATTCTGAAGCTGATTGGAGAAACACTTGCAAACCACAATAGTCAACAATGACATTGAAATCTATTCTATGCCGCCTCACCATGAGAAGTGCATCTCTAAAACGCCTCTGGACCAATGCATTGCAAATAGAGGCCAGGACCAATTTTCTTGGATAAATGCATTCTAGATTTCCCCGAGTTGTTTGCAATATAACAGCAGCTTCATCTCCATGCAGGACACCAATAATTTTAGCACCTCTTTCCCATATGGTTATGAAGTTTCTATTATCTTCTCGTTTCTTGCTACCAGCTTGTATGGGGTTCTCGAATTTTATTTCCCGCTCTCTGTGCAATATATCTGTTATCTCAGCAATAAAAAGACAATCCTGCTTAGTTGCCAAAATTAAATGCGTGGTCACTTGGTCATCCAAATTTGAGTAGAACGAGAAACTGCTGCAGTTGTTGCATATTATCTTCCCACTAACGTGCAACCTACAACTGTCCTCAAGTCCAAAAAGTAAAGGTTCCAACGACCCACTGTTTCCAACTAGAACCACACTCATAGCAGGGCAAGTTGATGAGAAACTCCAATCGTGTTTTGGAACCCCTCTGGTGATGCCCAACTTTGGAACATACTCAGAAACCTTTCCACCATCAAATTGAACAAATGCTGAACCTTTCCGAGCAGGATTAGGAGCAATTGCAATAATAATCTCTTCTAGAGAGTTTTGGCTGGAAACTTTGGCATGCCAGCCGGAGCATGTGACTGAACCTGGGACATGATCCTCGGAGCATATAAGCTCAATTTCCTGCAAATAAAAACCAGCGCCATCCTCACTTGATGAAATTTGAGATACGTAATTACTATGACTGAATCCATAGTGAGAAACAGCAAGAATTTTGTGTGGGTCCAACCATATCAGATGCAATAAAGAACTAAATGGTGATTCAGAAATGGATGCTTCAACAGAAAATTCTTTGCCTTCTAGTTCTTCCCAAGAATCAGTGGCCGGAAGCTCTACGACACATAAACAACCATCTGACAGAGAAGCAGCCAAACAGTTCTTAGAATTCTTGGAATAGTAGGCCAAGTCCCGTACAGCACTTGGGAATTTAAGGCTGAAAATGTACATGGGAGGTGGCATTAGGTACAAAGAAAGAGGGGTTACAAGTATCTTGGAGTCATCAATTACCAGTGTGGTTGAGTCATCCATCACAGCTGAATTCCATATGAAGTCGTACGATGTAATCTGGCCTCCAAGAGTCCAACATAATAACTGCAATGGCTTTGTTGGATTCCAAACAAACCTCACTCCATCCTGTCTTGGGTATCTAACTTCAGATTTTAAGTACCAGTGGTTGTTACTGAAATACCATACCTTGACACAGTCGTAATTTTCACATCTGACAATGGCAGCAAGAAGATCTGAACTGCAATTCCACTTGAGAAATTCTATGGTTGCATTTGTTTCCTCATTAATGCTAAACAAGCTCCTTTCTAACCCATTCCTCTCAAAGAAAACTATTGAGGGACACTCATTTTCTGATTTCCTATCATACACGGCTGCAATTTTTGCTCCACTGGGCACCCAGTCGACAACTGATCCCATTGACTTTGATTCTGAAACAGCATGTAATGCTCCCGAATGTCGCTCCCAAATTTTAAGCCTCTTATGCAAGGATGTCGAATCCAGCACCTCACTTAGTGTGACAAAGTATTTCCCATCACCTCGCCAGGAAATGGGGCTTTCAAATTGTGTTTCACCTGAAACCATAAGTACAGTCACTAAATTTTCCAAATTAACCAAACTCATGTCATAGAAAAATGAGGAAATTACAACCACCATATGTGTTATATAATAAGTGGACACCAAAAGAAACCGCGCAATGCTTCCAATTAAGGAGGTCATGTAGGCCAAATACAAAATGAAAAGTGAGTCCTAAACACTGTTTTCCTAATATGATCTTGAACCACACATTGCTATTTCCACAGCAAACAGCAAACACTGTGTTAAAGCAAAAAAGAAATTCTGAAAATCCATGAATAATGGAAAGAGGTCCTTACATACGTGGTTGACATCTTCCAGAAGATACTCAAGTGCGGTCTCGTACAACAAATCCCAATCCTGAGTCATTACCAGTATCTGCCCCGAACCAGTAGTTATGGCAAGAAGGTCTCCATCTGGACTAGGCGCAATGCACTTGACACCGCCATCCACTCCACCGACGATTTGGGTGTCATTATCATCCACAGAATGCAGCAGCAGAAGCCCATTACTTGTACCCACCAAGAGCGCTTCTTTCTCCATGAGGTAACCAAAGGAAGTGATGAAGTCCTCAGGCTCCAATTCAATTTGATGAACTAGTGCGGATATTGAGGTTCTGCTCCATGCTCTTTCATGCTATACCACATTCATCATCAAATTAGGGTTACCAATAGAATAAGGAAATTAAACAAGCATGTATACAAACATATATGGATATATATAGATACTATATGCATAGGCATAGGCGTAAGCGTAGGAGGTAACCTGGATAGAAGAAAGGTGAGTGGCGTAAATTTTATTAGAGGAAGAAGCGAAGAACAAGCGATTCTGCTCGATATCGAAGGCGGAGAAGAGTATAAGCTCCTCTTTCGACTGTAACTGGAGATTCAACGAGACCTCCGAATACAGCTTCAGGTTATTCATTTTTCACAAATCGATGCAACTCGCCAGAGAGAGAGTTGTGCCCTACCGACTGGCTAAAGGTAGCACTGATCAGGGTTTTGAGGGTTTAAGCAAAATTCTTTCGAAGAGAAGACGTGGTCGACTATAAAGACATAAACGACATGTCGTCTCCGATTTCTTTTTTGTTCTGGACCAACTAAAAAGAAAACACTCCTAATTAAATCAAACTCAATCGCAAGGGAAGGAACGAACTCATTGCCTTGGCCAACTAACCTGAACCACACCCGCACGGTGGCACCCTTTGCCTGCACGTATTAGTAGAGCAAGTGGCGTATGCTTAAATTAAAGGTGAGAAATGTCATTAGAGTTCTAGTTAAGTTTTTTGCGTTTTCTCTTTTTCCCAAAAGAATTCTGTTTGTGCTTTGTTGTGCAGAATTTGGTGAAGTATCTCATCTCAACTCATGTATCTAACAGCATCCATCCAACTCTTGTGGAGTTTTAATCGGTAAAAAAAGGCTCAAAAAAATTGTCAAACTGCTAACAATAGTAAACAAGATGATCTGCATGATGATCATACAGGTAAACTAAAAAGAAAACTAGACTCATATTCATTTCATTTCTCTACTTCAAGTACAATAATATTTGGAAGTTACAATTAATCCACAGATTGTATGAAGTAAGACAATACTAAGAATCTGGAAAAGACAACAACAACAACTACTTAACCTAAGGAGGTAAGTAAACCACTAAATCCAAAATGTCACTGAATCTCATGCCTGTATCACTTTGAAGTTGGTGAAAGCTATAACCTCTTTGATTGTATTGCTATCCTGTACAAGCTTCTGTACTTCCTAATTCCACATTAACATCTCACAACCTCCTCTCTGTCAGCAAAAATGGGAAAATCAACTTGCCACAGACATCAAAAACTAGCACCGTATCATCTACAAACCGAGGCCTCCACATACTACTTATAATCAAAACTGGCCATGAAAGCTTTTACCAAATGCTGATCCAACCTGACAGCCACACCCACATGTAAGAAAGAAACTTAACCAAGTTCTATGCCCTTTTCTTTTGCTGCTTCCACAACAGTGTTTGTATTTCCTGTACTCATCATAGAAAGGATCGAATAGGACTTCCACAACTTCACGGAAAATGGATATACAGATAAAGCTCTCTTGTAAAACCTCTCAGAAATAGGCTCGACACTCGCAATATTTCCCAAAACCTCTGCAGCTTCGACCCATACGTACTCTGGTGGAATTGGGACAGCATGAAAGATTGCACTGACCAAGTTTGAGCTAGCCCAAAACAAAGCACTGAGAGATGTAACATCACCGGCATTGCTGCCACTGCTTAACATCTTGCATACAGAAATAGCTAGCTGATAGTTGGATGGAGTTATGTCCAAGATGGCTTCAACAAAATCCACCAGATTTTTTTGCTCACTGAACTTTTCTGGTAAAAGAGATGGTCCATACCACACTTCAAGAACTGAATTTACCACAGAAAAATCAGATGATAATGGACTGAATACATTACTAACCAGATGCCGGACTCTTGGCTTCTTGATGTTGTTAACGAATTTTCTAGATAATGGCTCAGAGGTAGGGAAAGCCGGAGCATCACCTAAACATTGCTCCAAAATCTTCTGTATGCCACTGATAGAACCATTCTCCTTTAACAGTGATTCATCAGTAAGCATAAACAGCGCATGTTCTCTTACGCAATGCTTAAAATATTCAGGAACAGCAGCATTCAATGCTCTGTCAAGGGCTAAGCGAGCTTCACTGTGATCATTCTGTAAGAGGTTATGCAGAGATAGATTAAGATATCCAAACATTATGTCCATCTGCTTCGGATTGGAACTGAGTGTCTGCTTGATTGAATTTGAAGCCAATCCTTGCGATCTATCTGAGTTATCACAATTCATTTCATCCAATGTACCAATTTGAAGATCGTGAACCTTCCAAACAGAACGAAACCAGCGGTCCATAACTTCTTTACCAAAATCATATCTTCCATTTTGAAGGGCATACTCAACATATTGATTCCAAATACACTGGACTCCAGGGACTTCTTTTGGCCAGTTACTAAGGGCTTCTTCAAATCTCTCAAAATGTGAATCCCCAAGATCATGTTTATGTGTCCGCGCTGATATTAAAACAAGTTCTAAGCAGGATGGGTACAAAGTAAGATATTTATCCAAGAGGTGGCCACATCTTTCTAAGCTGCCAAGAGCTGCCATGCACCTTAAGTGGTTGAGAGCAAAAAAATGTGCCACTCTGGTATTAAACTCACTTTTTTCAAGTGATTCAATTTTCATGTATGAATCTACAGAATCTACTACTGTTTCCATCAGCATGGTAGCCCTTTGCTTCTCATCATCCATTAATTGAATGGAAGGCCATTCAATTTCAAAGAGTTCTTTTTGACATTCAAACTGTCGCACTACAGCATCAGGAAGTTTCCTGTAAATAACCAAGTAAACACAACAAACCCCTAATATACATTTGTCATAAATAGTTAGGCATGTGAGTATATCAGAGAGCGACAGAGAGTTAGGCTCATCAAAATTTGTGGCAGTGGGGAAGAGTCCAAAAGTTTTCTGAATGGCCTTGTCAATGTTACCAGACATGCATAAACAGTCCATCATTTGCAAACATAGGTCTAAGGTGCATGCACTAGCATACGTTCCATCTATGTCAGAAGCAGTAGCATGACGGCACAGTGCTGAGAGAGCGACATCATACGTTACCAATCGGTCATCAAGCTGCATCCGACTGTTGATGCACATGAGCCAAAGTTCATAAGATCGATCATTGTATTTGACCTGAAGAACAAGAGGAAAAGTGTTTCCAGGCAAAAGTTTCAATTTCTAATCTCTAATCGAAATGCAAAGAACATGCTTACAAAGAAAAGAGTTACGCTTTACATACTAACACAAAAGCAAAGAAATGAGTACGCAAAAATGAAAATGGAAATAGAGAAAAGCTGGAAAATTGATGCTCATGGAGGCATCAAATGAGTTATTGTTTGAAAATAGCATGAATTAATGCACAAAAAGAGTTAAAGGAAAAACAATTCAGAGAAGGGATATCGTACTGGCTATCTGGGAACAAGTATATACCATTTTTTTTTTGTTTTGGGCATCTTGCGTAGTAGAACCACACTCATCTAGGTACATGAAAGATACTACTCGTCAGAAATATATATATTTTTTAATGTTTTATGGCCATCACCATGTCAATGACTTGCGGATTACTATGGTTTAAGGCTTAGGAATCAATAAAGGGTAACCACTGTGACACAAGACATAGATAACAACCACACCAATCATCTTCCCACCCAAAAAAAAAAGACTACAAGTTGTACTCAGGACCCTAGTGACTTCATATTGCCATAGAAGAATGAGAATCTAACAGGTGTGAGGAAACCAACCATCAAAAACAACTTTTAACAGGAGTAACCAGAAAAAAGATTTATGAAGCAAAGCATATCTGGTGTTTTCCTGTTATCAATACTTTAATAGGGTTTGCATGTACGGCTGGAAAGCCTATAAGGGTGTATCCACCCACGCATGTGGAGGCTGCCCCTGGTATTCATGCTCCATATAAAATAAGATCATAAGAGTAAGAATCTTGTAACAGCATACCGCACAAGAGAACATGTCATCCTTCCCTACTGACTTCATATTGCTATAGTAAATAAGCAGATAAAAAATCCAGAGAATAATGGATGTTGGATCAGCCTCAAGAGCTCGTGACAGCACAGGGAGAGCCTGCAAAACTCAAAAACATAAGATGACAGTAACTGAAGTCTTTGAACATAATTATATTGCTGTAGTCATACACCACAGGAGTTACCTTTCTCAGACCCTCAAGTTCATTAGCCTCCTGGCTGAAAATTAAAAGAGCCATTTCTAGGTATTGATCATTGTCAGCCAAAGCTTGTGTGAGTTGACTCTAAGTAATCAAATTTGAGAAGGAAAGTTAGCACAAACAATGTAATGGACCAATCACATAAGAAGGTTGTTATTAATCAGCAATAACAAACGAAGAACACTAAAAAGTACAGGCATTCAAGCATAAATCATAAAGATCGCATCACACATCAATCATCAATATGCCAAAACAAGAGCAAAAAGAATAGAGGGGGCGGGGGTGGTCGTGGGTCTTGAGAGGAGACATTTACAGGGAATTCTCACAAGCTCTCATCTTATAAAAATAGATGGAGATAAGTCCCTTGCCTCAAGTATTTAATAAATTATTCATCACAGGAAAGATTTCGAACTAAATAAAAAACAACACAAAATATAACAGTCCAAGAATATGGTGAATAGGAGAATTGAGATTGTGAATCAAATAAGTTCCTGAACAAGGCATATCATTCACAGGACAAGAAGTTCAAAGAATTCACAGCACTAGAAGATGCAACACACCAAGTAAATAAATGGAAGTAGCATGCAACACTCGGAATATAAATGAAGTAAAAAATAGAGCAAAATGAATAAACAAACCACTCCGCTGTTACTACTCTGAAAATACGATGACTGTCTGTTCCAACTCACAGGGAACTCCATGTGACCATCATTTCCTTGGAAGAATGGGACATCTTCAGTAACATCTTTCCGAAACAAATTTGACAACACTAAGAAAAGGCTGAAACACTTCTTCCACCATTGACCATTTCTCCGTGCTAGAACAGGTTCATATGAATGCAGCTCAGTTTTCATAATCCCTAAGCCAACGAGATAAGTTGGTGAAGTCATAGCATGGTTATACCAGGGGACTTTTGTTGAATCATCACACTTTTTTTGATGCAATGTTAATCCAACCTGACAATCTGTTGAAACATTATTTCAAGAATGCAAGAAACAAAAAACAGGTTCAAAATTTGTCAAGGGGTTGACCATACCAGCAATACCAGAATTGTCATGCTGATGTTGATGCATATTTGTGTTAGAGTAGTCTTTAACATGTTGCCAAGGACACTCATCATTGTTGCATTTTCCTCGAAGCTCATACATGCAGAGCGGCCAAAAGGGATCAATAGCAGGACCAGTGCTATAAGTGCCAACTTCTCTTCTAGCTAATTTCACCAGAGTCTCTTTCAGTGGTTCAACCATAACATTGCTATACTGGACTTTTTCAGAATTGATACAAGTTGGACTCTGTTGGCTTATAGCTTGATGTTCTATCAAATCTTTTGGGCAAATGACTTTCATATACCCAAAAGTACTCCTCATGATATTACCTCTCAAGTAAAGCCTATCCTCGGAATATGAATT